TTTTGGCAATCGCCGCAACAGCTTGTTTACCTTTTGTTTCCGCTGCATTAAAGCTAATTACATACTTACATTCTTTTGGCCACAGCCACAATAACTTCCAACAAGCGAAGTGTTGCTGACACTTCATTTTTTCGCAATAAGAATTCCCACAGGTGAATTTCTAAATTGCTAACTAATATTATTTTACAATTCCTCTTTTGCAATCGGAGTTGCGCCAATTCAAAGAATTAGCGCAACAACCGAATTATCTGGCACTAACCAGTTGCACGCGCATCCGGTAAAATGCAAAGTGCTGATACCAGCGTCTGGAACATTTTAACAAGCAAGTTGTTGTTGCTTTCACAATTAAATTTTAGCATTAATATTTCAATTATTCAACTTGAATAGTCAGTCTCATTTCTGTAGCGTACTCGGTTGGAAGTTTAAACAAAAACTTCCTTGTTTTACACCAGTGGTGAAATATGCATCAATAAGGCGCCCCTACACGCTTAAAGTTTGTTTGGGTACTAATGATTCAACATCATGCCTTCACAAATGCAGCTATAAGTTGCATAGTATATATGAGTACGAACAACAGCGAGCATTTTTTCTACATAACATAGGCGGACGCTGATTTGATTTCTTCTTTTCGTACGCGAACGTTAACAAAACATGTTGAAATGTATACGTTCGCGTTTGCGTTCGAATAATGGACGTGTGGTAGGCGCTTAAACTTCTGTCAACTGTGTTCATTTGACAAGAAACATTTTTTATACCAAATTCTCAAACTGAATTGTGTCTAGGGCAAAATAAATACACCGTTCTTGGCTTGGTAAATATTTTTGTACCAAATTCAAGAATCTGTGTAAGTTTTCAATGACGACCATATATTCAAAGTATGTGTTATAAAAGTAAGGCTAAGTTCACAACCTAGAGTAATAGCGTTACGCGTTGCAATGGAAATCGCTCAATCCAAAGAAACTTCTTCGCCAGCATAATCGCTGGCGATTAAAACGTAGCTAGTGTTTAAATTGTAGCAAAATTATACACGACTAATTTTTTATAATAGGGGAGTTTACGATGAGTAGCATTTTAGATTTAAAGTTGCTACGTACCAATCTAGCATATATTTTGTTGTTGGGAAAGCAACAAAACGTGTGATACATTGCTACGTAGGGATTTCCCTAATATATATTTTTTGTTTCCACAACCCTTTGGCAATTTATACCGAAACTTAAGCATATTGTATTGTATATAATAGCAGTAGAAGAGATGTTTAATTTATTATATAAATATGTACATATGTATATTTTTTATTTATTTGGGCTTTAAGTATGAGAAAAAGCTTTTTTTAACAAACTGCAAAGACTGTGTAAATATTGGTTAGAAGCGATTTTTATGTATTCTCGCTACGCTAATACGTTAGGTTGTAAACTTAGCTTAATACTGAATCTCAGCTGGACGCCATATTAAAGCTGTATGACTACTATTTAGCTAATTTAACAATTTCATTATGTACATTGGCTCAACTATGCCACTTTATGGATATTTTCGACCCTGTTTTAAACAGCGCGTCTCTTAGAAAATTAAAAATGGCCAAAAAATCACTACTTTCAAAATGTAACTTTTTCCAGATTTATTTAAATCTTCAAATCCTCATAAATTTTGAGGCGCTCGATTTTTAGAGGGGGTAGGACCGAAATTCACTCGACAGAATGTACCTCGTTTTTAAATTAGGAACTCACATTCATATATATTCGCGATTTTGATGTCTGCATATAATATATACTGAGATTTATAAAAATAATTCTAAGTTGTGCAGATTAAAAAAGAGCTTCGGTGTAAATTTTATGTCTGAGTTAATTTTAAATTTGATTACTAGTAAATTTTATTCCTCGAATCATTTCGTACTCTTCACACTCATGGGAATATATTTATGCTAGAATATGATGTAAATGATTTACCATTATGGTGTATGATTTGAGCCAATTATGAGTACGTATTTTACACCAACGGAGTTTATTTTATGTTCTAGAAACAAGAAAAGTTGTATACCACTGGCATAATATAACTATATACCGAAAATCAGTAAAAAAAAATTACGGTAGGTGTAAATAATACACGAAAAAGCGGTATAACCTTTACACTGAATGGAAATAAACTGTTCAAAAACTGCGCCTAGAAATGGCATATTTTTTATATTGAAAATGTATATCACGCCGATGCAAAAAATACACAAAATATTTTGGTGCATTTTTGACTTTTGTGCTACTTGAGGTACTGGTATAGGTTTCGTTTATTTTATCAATTTAATTAAATAAAATTATTCAAACGGGTGGCAACCCTCCTAAAAAATACTTTCGGCAGTAAAATTTCCTAAACCTCTTCAATTTGATACCCATATTGCAATATTCAATTTGACCTATAAATTAAATTTAATTAAAATTTTAAAACAGGTGGCAACTCTCAAAAAATATTTTCCGCTGTAAGGCTTCTTAAACCTCTTTCTTTTTACTCCGATATTGCAATATTCATATTTTCTTATCAATTTACTTAACCTGCAATTTTCGAACAGGTGGCAACTCTCAAACTTTTTTCTCTCTAGATTTCAAGTTAGATCTCTAGCAAAATATTCGTGAAAACCGCTTTCACGAGTGATGAGCCTGCAAACATACATACAGACAGACAGACAAAAATTCTTAAAATGGTTGATTTGGCTTCTATTGCTCTAATAGAGACACTCCATATTAGTTTTTCTTTAATATCTAACTATAATGAACAGTCATCGGCCTGTTACAATTTTAATATATGTATAGATAGCACTATTTTGATGTACCGTTTATGAAATGCCAAAAAAAGTTTTTTTGAACCACTGTAGTACCTACATGTATTACTTTTCATATCAATTCAAGTCTATTACATGCGCCCCACGCTTTTCATTTCCAATCTCATAAATTGTTTTTAATGACTTCTGCTAAAATTTCAGAATCAAATTGATATCTTTTCATTCTATGTGACTTAGAAATATTATTTTCTAATGTTTAGCCATTTATAAAGGCGTGGTATATTAAAAAGTTTTTTTATTTTATTTATTTCCTACTTTTTAGTCTTGTCTGTATAAAAATTTGCAATAGATATTAAAATAACTCAACGATATTAATAGATTGGTACACACGCTTGCATATATGTATGTACATACATACGAGCGTCAATTAATTTCATTCAAAGAAATGGCGTGCCGTCCATTTCCGCTGTAGCGTAAGTAGTGCATATTTTTAGGCGCAATATATTGGAGTCATGTATCTCTAGAGTTTTGATATGATACCAGGCGACGAGGTTGATGTCAAGACTTTTATAGGATCTTTGCAAAGCAAAGGTTTTATAGCAATGAATGGTGTCTGGACACACAACATTGCAAGTTGATAAAAGCGTTGTAATAAAAAAAAGCAAGATACACGTTGGAGAGTTTAAGAATTTTGCAAAAAAAAGTAACAATAAACAAAGAAAAGGAAACACTGACGGCATCGCGGATGCATACTTTTTATGTTTATAGCTATTTTAGTATTAGTTTGATCAGACCACAAGTATGAACGCTGCTAAATTTTAAGGTTTAAGGTTAAATGTTAAGTGTACAATAGTTTAATTTTCAAATGTTTTTTAATGTTTTCCCAAAAGTGTTTAAAGTCCAGTATCATTGCTAATTGTCACAGATTCAATCAAAATTTGTTCCTTGTTTTTGTGTTCACAAATTTTGTTTTGCGTTCATACATATTTACAACGTATATTCTAACAATAACGTCCTTATATTTGTTTCTTGTTGATCTCTAATAAGGCAGCAAAGTGAAGAAAGTCTTTTCTTGCACATAAAATAACTTGATCAAAATAGCATATTATAACCAACTAAATTGTCTACATCTACATAAACTCCTCTTTCTTTTCATCAGAATCGGTGAAAGTGTACAAGAAAATATTATATTTCCATCTCTAAAGGCCGGTTCACACGATATTTTTTATCATGATTGATACAAAGGCAAATATTTTTCCATCACACGATTGGACTTCTAATTTACACCAAATTTGATGTTACTAATTTGTGTACCGCTGTGATGTAGTGGTTAGCAGTGCGCGCTATTATTCCACAGGGCCTGCGTTGGACCCCATCTTCCGACCAACATCAAAAAAATAAGTCATAAAAAAGTTTTTTTTTTCTTATAGCGGTCGCCTCCGCAGGCAGTGGCAAACCTCCGAATTTAATTGTGCCATGAAAACAGCTTCTCATAAAAATATAATCGCCGTTCGGAGTCGGCGTAAAGCTGTAGGTCCCTCCCCTTTGTATGACAACTTAAAGGCGCACGCTACAAATCGGAGGAGAAGCTCGGCCAAACACTAATATATAGTATAAGCGCCAATCTATTATTGTATAAGCAAGCTGTATCAAAATTTCATTACCTTATCATTATCGGTTCCAGAGATAAGCGATATGGAAATTTCAATTTATATGGTATGTGCCACAACCCCTTATTCCAATTCCCTTTTCGCCACAAGCACGGTACTGATAACATATGTAGACAGTTGGCATTAGCGGTTTCAGAGATAAGCGATGTGAAAATTCAGATTTTGTGGGAGGTCCCACGCCCCCTTTTCCAATTTCTACCAGTTTTCGCCATAAGTACGTTTTTTATAACATATGAAACGATGTCAAATTTCTGGTCATTAACATAAGTGTTTTTATGGGAGGTGCCATACCCCCTCTTACAATGCCCTCCACCTTCCGCCATAAGTACGGGATTTACAATTTATGCATCCATGTCAAGGTTCAGTTCCCCAGCATAGAGTAAGTTATGTATATCCTTTAAATCGGTGTATGTTTCATAGAAATCGAGCGAACGGTGGCCTCAAGAAATGGGTTTCAAAATGTTATTGTAGTGTATTTATAAATAGATATTTTTTATGGTGATATGCAATACGTTATTTAACTAAAACAACTTTTTTTATATAAATGTTTTTCCGGTACTTTTCAGCATTTGTTACGGGGTCCTCTGCCACAACAGCAGCAGCGAGAGATGGGCCCAGCTGAGGCATTTTATCATTATGCCTATCATATAAATCGCAGCAATAATCAAATGAGTGGCAAATACAAATATAATCGTAATGATAACGGTTCCAATAGTTTTACCAATTATTACTACGCGGAGGACATCAAAGGCTATGCGAATAGAAGTAAGGCGCAGCTCGGTGACCTCGCCGGTGGTAAAATGTTGGCGGACAAAATGAAAAGCAACTGCAAAGATGCCATTAACCATGCTCCTCATAGCGGTCATTTGTTAGAAGCCATCAGCCCCGAAGCGGTGATGAGCAATAGTAGCAATAACAATTATCTAGTGGCCTATAATGGCAAAAAGAGTAAAACAACGGCCAGTGTCAATGCCGGTAATGGCGTTGGCGTCGTCACCAGTGATATGGAGACCAATTTGCAGCTAGTGCCACAGTTTCCCCTGGAAGCCAAACAAGTCCTGGTTCATGATAGCGGGAGACATGCGGGCAACGCACAGTCGAAGAATTATAATCATGCCAGTGGCAATGATGGAAACAACAACAGTAACAGTAGTAGCAGCCACAGCAGCAGCGGCCCTTTTTTCGAGCAAAATAAACAAAAACTACACAGGGGCAGCAGCGTTGGTCTCAGAAGCTTGCACACAACTAAATTGGTTGATATTCTGGATACGTTGCACGACAGCGTCGAGCTCGAACACGTTGACGACGTAGACGACGACGACGACGAAGCATTGTATATAGTCGAGGCTGATACCCAGGACAAAGCGTTTGGGAAACTACAGCACACCAAAGCTGCCGACGCGGCGGACTTGCACGCAAATGTAGCTTTGACACAGAAAGTCAAAGGCCAGCCCTATGCCTACGGCATCTTCGTGAATCTGTATGAGCACAGATATGAGCACATAGCAAGTAAAATTGTGCAAGAATCGGGGGTCACAACCAATGCCAAATTAAACGATAATAATGGCGGCACAATTTCTCCGACGAAAACTGCTGATCGCCGACAAACGTCGTCGCAACGACAACCACATTCATTAGTTGAACTGCCAGTTATGAATTTGCACAAACAATTTACAAAAGCAACACCAGCTAACACGAACGATGTGTATACAGCGCACAACGCGCGCAACTCACTTAGCGATGCCAGGATTTCGCTTGCCGAATTGGTAACATCTCCCAGAAGAATCCATAAAACAAAAACAAATTTAGTTAGCACGGCGCTAGGAAGAGTAGCTGTGACGCCTCAAAAACAAATAGCAACAACAGCAGCAGCAACAAAACACCAATAACACCAACCATACAGCAATGTTCGCCAAACTTGAACAGGTGGAGGAAGAGGAGAAGGGAATGGGGAAACATAAAATAATTACTTAGAAGTAATTAACAAAAAACAATAGTAATTTAAGTAGTAAAAGTGAAAAAAAGGACTTGTATAAACATTTTGAAAACTTTCATTTTATGCACATACAAAAAATTGGATATATAGGCAGAAGAGTGCAGAATATTTCAACCCTTTATACATACATAAATATGCAGACACAGTCTGCATATGTACATAAGTACATACCTATATAGTATATTTGTTAATACATCAATCAATCCAATATACTTACATAAATATGTAGTATAGGTCAGTTCGGAAATGCAATCCGCAGTATTACTGCAAAGAATTAAACTCTTTTACTCTTAAACTGTAGATCATAGAAATACCTTGTTTTCTCAACTTAGGACGAATTCGGCACTTAACCGTGTTTACACATGCTGCACATTGCCATAAATTATAAGTTTGAAATAAAAGGGACTGTCTTTGCAGTAATGCCGCAGTATTGCATTTAAGAACTGACCCTATGTACATATACATATGTATGTACATAAGTGCATGCATGTATGTATGCATATTAGACCTGCAGTCGGACTCCAACATTCGCTATCGTTAATTTTGATCTCCAAAAAAAAGAAAGAAAATGCGTGCCTGTATGTGTATATTTTTAGGCCCCACTGCTTGTTATTTAGAGAATTTTGGTGACAAAAATTTAACTAAATTGAAAAGCAATGGGGCTTAAAAGCAAAAAACATGAAAAAGTAACAGATGCTATGAGTGATCATTCATATCCTGCAGTATTTGTAATATGTTGCTAGGAGTGCCTGCCACTTTCAGAGATTTTTGGTGATCAAAATTAGCGATAGCGCTTTTTAGGCCCAATTCATTTTCAGATCACATACGTTAACTGTACTTAAATTTTCAATGTTTGCTACGAAAATATGAGATAAGCAACCCTGTGTTTATATCAAACAACAATCAGCTGTTCAGAACAAAATATAAACAAACTAACAAATGCAACAACAATTTCTAGGAACAAGCAACAATGGTGCCACTTGTTTGGCATATTTAAATAAAGGTGATCTGAAAACCAGCAAAAGCTAAATGAGATTTAAATAACAATCCAAAAATTTAACTTAAGTGCAATTTAGCTCTTTCATCCAGCGCATCTAAAATTGGCCTTTAGAAAATGTTTCTGATTACCCCCTTAGTTTTAAAGCTTAATTTGAGATGATTTCGGCGTAATGAAAATTCACTTCCTTGGCACAACTCCTTACGATCATAGGAAATTGCAGCCCTCAATAAATTTCTTTAAATGTTTAGTAACTCAACTTGAATTTAGACGGATAGAAATTGACATAATTGAGTATACTGGTTGAAGGTCGACAGAGTATGTGATGGTAGAGTTTGTTTTCAACGATATCTCAACAATCAAAAATATTATGAACAAATCTCGATTTTGACGGGTTTTAGAACAAGACAAGAACGAAGGTTTGAGTGATGCTAAAATACTTTTAAAACCCGCCACTAAAACTTTTTTCGCGACTCAGTTTAATATATGTAGTACAAATATAAGTACATATACAGGGTGTCCCAGAAGTAACGTGCCAAACTTTAGGGGAAGGTAGGTGGGGGGGGTGAGCTCCCTGATAAACAAAAAATTTTCAGGTAAAAGTGTCACCGTTTTTGAAATTTAAAAAAAATCGTGCTTTTTCATGTGTTTTCTTTAACTACAAACCGGGCAATACTTAGTAAATTTTTTATGTAAAATACTTCCAGATAGTTGCCTCTCCATACTCAAATGCAATTAGTTAAAATATATTAAGGAACCATCATAAAATTAGGACTATTTCTGGATTTTTAACTTTTTGACATTTTCTTCCCCAACTTTGACTATCTCGGGTGAAAAAAAAATTTAATGTAAAGTTATAGCTCAGTACATTTTTTTTCACCCGAGATAGTCAAAGTTGGGGAAGAAAATATCAAAAAGTTAAAAATCCAGAAATAATCCTAATTTTATGATGGTTCCTTAATATATTTTAACTACATTGCATTTGAGTATGGAGAGGCAACTATCTGGAAGTATTTTACATAAAAAATTTACTAAGTATTGCCCGGTTTGTAGTTGCAGTTAAAGAAAACACATGAAAAGGCACGATTTTTTTTAAATTCGAAAAAATGTAAATATTTCAAAAACGGTGACACTTTTACCTGAACATTTTTTGTTTATCAGGGAGCTCACCCCCTCACCTACCTTCCCCTAAAGATTGGCACGTTACTTCTGGGACACCCTGAATATATAAACTTAGCAAAATTGAACCATAGTTAACGTGTCCAGTGCATTCATGAACAGTGAATTATAAAGTAGGCGTCTGCGGCAACCTGACACAAAGAACTGTATTTAGAAAGTTTTCCTTTTCTGGCAGGTCGGAAACTTTTGTCCTCAAAAGATAATGGGTGCACTCAGTTGAGTAGAACAAGAGACCCAAGTAAACAGCTTCCTATTAGCGCTCACGATGCTATAGTTTCTTATGTTATGAGTTTGGTACTTGTGCCGCCAAGAGAGACAGGGTTACCCGGAAAGTCCGAATAGATAGTTAAGGACATTATTATTTAGGTCATCTATGAATAATTTGGTTAAGTTCGACAAAGATAGTATTACTAACAGGCCCGTCGAGAAGGAGGGGGAAAGGGGTGAATCCTTCCGGGCCCGGACTTCTTTACAATGTAAATAATAGCTCCTTCGTTATAGGCTTTTGTTATAAATATTATAAATATATTCCGATTCGTGCTCATTGTTTCTGACTCTAGCAACAATGTGACTCCATAGATTAAAGAAAATTACCATTTGGCCCAAAACGCGTACTGTTACAATGCGTTTTGACTCACAGTGCTTTTCAAATATCGCTCAAATTCGCTAGAATAATTTTTCTTCTTGCATCTTAAAGTATAAGTATGTGGCAATATTTAATATGTATATGCCTAAAATATATTCTACCTCGTGTTGTTTAGGAGGTATAAATGTTTCAACAGCGGACTGTTACATTACAATTTTTGGAAGTACTTTTTAAAGCTGCTTTATATTCGAAAAAGTCTGCTCTTCTTATATAACTCAAGAACTAGGTATTTATTGAACTGATAAAATTAATTTTGAGGTTAATACTGTTACCTGTGCGATATACATACGTGCAGATTATAATTAGGTTTTTAAATGGCTTGTAGTATGTTTTATGCAATAAGTAGCATGAATTCAGTATTTGGAACATGATAATTACATTGTGAGACAAATGGTAGGGCTCAGTGATCGGGAAGGGTTCAAACTACCAGGGAAAGTTATATCGGTAAAAAAGAAGTTATACGTGTCCCGGCGTTTCGCTGGGTCACGTCTAGGAATCGAGATATATCGATTTGAAGTT